CTTAAAACCTTTTGACCTCTATAACCTCTACAACTGTATTTTGCACTTCTTATGTTACAGCCTGCTTTATACGGCATGGAGAGGGGGGAAATTTGAGTAGATAGGGTTCGGCGACCGGAAGATTTTCAGGATGTACGGAAAGAAAGGGACCACCCCCACCCCCCCTCCGGTGCCTGACAGCCAACAGTAGCTTAGATACAACGTAAGCAGACGGAAATGACGATACAATCAAGCACTATAAAAGGTTATGTTACGAACTAATAAACGCCATTTACCGTCCACCACATTGGTGTCTGTGAGTTAGTGGCCCGAGTGACTAAGGGGTAGTCACTGTGCTCTTCCCGGACCAGGTTGTCATGCAACACTCCACGTGCAGAAGACTGGCCCAAACTCTGGAGCAATCCCTCCCTCTCAGGACTGCAAGATGACTATCTTCACTGGTTTGGTATTTTGAGAATTGTATTTGGGTGTTCTGCATCAAACATCAGCCATGTTCTTTCACAGGCAGTGCGTGTACATGAACAGTTGCCTTCACGAGTCAGAGATTAACAAAAACACTGCTACACAAAGGCACACATTAAACTCTGCGTAACACACACATTTGTTTAAAATTAATTCTGAGGACTTCTTGCAAATAGGTTTTATGGCTGTATGAAGGGAGGCTATAAAAGGACATTTGGCTCCTTGGTAGGTGGCATGTTACATTTTTTAAAGAAATATTATTTCTCCCAGATAAATGCACAACAGATGTAACATTCGACCTAAGCAATAAGATTTATTACTATTTTTAAAGCAAATTCAGCACAGTTTAAGAGAACACTGTACAGAATTCTTTAGGCTAGGAAGAGGTTCTTCTTGTCATCGATGCATGCTTTGCATTTGTCAATTCTTGCCCTCAAAGCCAACCCAGAGTTTAGTATTTCAGGTTTCTTACAAAGGTGATGATCCTGCAATTCAATCTGCTAATGTAGCACATAGCAGGCTCCCTCTAGTCACTGCAGGCATGGGCTCATATCTTTGCTTTTAATATCAAAAAAAATCCGTATGGCCTCTTTGGTCTCTTTCTGAGCCCGCAAAGCATTCCATGTAATTTACATTAAGCATAATACCAACAGCACATGCAATCAAAAGCAAGTGTCACATGTTGTTTGGCAGTGAAAAATAAACATTACAGCTGTGATCAAAGAATGTGTCTTGCTTATATTGTCTTATAATAATTTCTTGAGCTCATGCACTTTTGTATAAATATTTATTGTTTTGTATTTTCTTCAGAAGCCATAGTTCTTCTGTTTTCTAAAAATAACCTGCTTATGCATAGTCTTCTATTTTCAAAGCACTGTTCTTCCTTTTGTTGAGTTTGTTTCCAATATCTCTTTGCTTGAAAAGTTGTGAAAGAAGGGTATGTGTAACTTTGGTAGCAAACATGCTGAAAACACCTAAAAATGAGGAACAATTCTTGCATAAACACCGTCAGTGGTAAACAGTCCCAGTGAAAAAAAAATCAATAGGCCTCCATGTCATGCAATAATTTTGCATAAGGGCATGAAACATGAAAATTAAAATATACCTGAGAATAACATAAAAATCTCATTTTCAAGAAAACACTAATTTTTGTTGCTCAACAGCTTTAAGCATCAAGTAATTTTTTTCAGTTTTTGCACTTCACTTCCTGTAACATAATCCCAGATGGTCCAGCAGACAGCCCCTGACCAACACTAAGGTGAATCGTGGAGCTGACACTATTGTGTTCACATTGGAGAAATCGGTGGATCTGAAAGGTCAT